TCTGTGATCCATTTATTCCCTTTTTTCCTATTTGCCCACTTATGGAAAAACTTGGAATTTCTATCCCCCTTCAAAAGCCAAATAAGCTTTGCTCTTTGTTGCCAGTAGTCTTGTTGGTGTTGTAAATCCTCTTCCAGTTCACTTCTCTGTTGTTGTTATATGAAAAGAGCATTATCAGCTTGGTTTGACCCCCACCTGTGCTGCATGGTTGTAAGTTGGTCCATCAGTTTAAGGACCAATTTGTCTATATTTTCAAAATTGTCCTTCCTCCAACTGTGAAGTGAAGTCAAGTTTCTATTCAATTTATAGGAAAGACTCTCCTGATCATCATCAATATACAAACCTTCCTCAGTCCATTTAGTTTGGACTAGTTGAGAATTGTGGACAGTTAGACCATAATTGTTCAGAACTCTTCTTTCTCCTTGTCTTTTGGCATTTGTATTTTAAATAAATTAGGCCATGATCTGAAGATATGATGGGAACATTTCTGATAATTGCTTTGGAGAAATGAGATAGCCATTGTCTCATGACAAAGGCTCTATCAAGTCTTTCAAAAGTAGCATCCCATTGAGTCTTTTGTTTGTCCAAGTGTACCAACAACCTAAATGCTCCAATTCTTCCGGGTCATTTAGTAGAGGAATTTTTAAATTTTCCTTGTATCTTGATCTCTGACTTGTCTTCCTCTAAACTTGTCTTCATGATGAATTACTTGATTGAAGTCTCCAAAATAAAGCTAGGATAGTTTAAGCCTCTAATGGTGTCACTCAGCTCAGTCCAAAATTCAGTCCTCCTTGCTAGGAAGGAGGACCATACAGAGTAATACCTAACCACTCTAACCCAGTAGCCTCACATACTTTGGCTACTATTACATTTGAATTTTGGAGAAGCACATTAATCTGCACACCATCTATCCACCTAGACCACCACTAAGACCTTCTGGGTCTCTTATAACTGAGTTTTTAAAACTGAAGTTTGTTGCGAAACTGATGAGAGTCAAATTATACATCTAGAATCATGCTTAATTTACCCCTTTTTACTTGTAAATTGTAATGTTTAGTTAAGAATAATTTATTTCTAATTAGGATTTCATATTTTGGGTAACTTAGCGACCTAAATGCAAAAAGGAACAAAAGGTGGGCAAATAATGCAAAATGTGGGCCAAATTGTGCAACAAGGGAAAGTTGATGATTTGACTCAATTGCAAAGAAGGAGGTGCTGATTGGATTGCAGAAAATGCTGATTTTGGGGCAGAAAAGGAGGTGAAAAACTGATGCTTAGGAGGCATGGGCTTGACAAAGACAAAATCAAAAAGTGGCTTTTGACTCCTTAAGAAAGCAAGGTTATTAAGAAAAGATGAAGGAGGCCATATTTTTTTCTATAAAAGGGGGAAAGATCAGAATCAGAGACACATTAAAGAGAGAGGGAGTGACACGCATAGAAAGATGGACAGTAGAGAGAAGAGAAGGGAAGCACTACGTAGAAGACACAGGCGGCGACTAAGGAAAGTGATGGAGTCACTTGCCCAAGTCGCCAGCCACCAGTCAGTAGTAGATTTGTTTCCTTACTTCCTTTCTTTTGTTGTATTTTTCTTGTTTTGTAATCATGTCTTTTACTATATGGAGAAATGTTGTTATTGTTGTAGTCAAGAATATGAATAACTTATCGATATTATTAATTTATATCTATCTCAATGAGCTGTCTATCGAATCGTTGCAATTGATGTTCGATCCTGAAGAGAAGGAAAAGCTCTTCAAAACGTGAGTTTTTATGATCGGATAAAGAATCAAACTTATTTAAATATTCCTGCTATTCTATATTTCCTTGAAAGGGGTGCTCAACTTACAGGAACTGTTCAGGATCTTTTGAAAAAGGCGTGGGATTTTAATGAACTTCGCCCTAATCAAACTTAATTTAATTAAAATTAAAAATTAAGGAAATAGATCTCTCAAGTTATTATTCATGGTTGTACTTGGATGATATTTGTGGGCCTAATAAATTTGAATTAACCTTTTGATTAGCATGATCAACAAGTCAGTTGTGCATGCATGTGCTGTGAACCCCTAACGGGTAAGTTTTATTTAGAATGTCTAGTATTAGACAGCGACAAGGGGGTAACAACTTAAGATTTCAAACAATAACAGAAATTAGTTTTTGGCATGAGGCGGTTTATAAGGGCTTAGGAACTTAATGGTTTAATAGTATTCTGGAATTAGCAACGGAAGTTAGTTGGTTTGTTGCTATTAAGACTCTATCTAGAACAATCAAAAGTGACCTTACAGTGTAAAAGTGTCTGATTAAACGCAGTTGTATACCACAAAAGTAACAACTAGAATAAGAAGCTAAAGAGAGGATAGTGGAATAGGAACCCCATAATACTTAACTAAGTCAGTTTGTCACTTTCGCAAGTCATCTGCTTTCCTGTTAGTATGTTGTCTTTAGTCGAATCAATTAGGGTTATTAGTGTTTCACCCGTTCTTGTGAGATCGACCCAACTTACTGATATCTACAATTTTAAGTGAGTTTCATCTTGGACACCCATCACAAACCTCTACATGTTCCCTACTAGTTATAGTTTCCATAATACACAAAATACAAGGTTTATACTGCTTAACTAACCTACTTATTACATGATTAGATGAGGCAATATTCATGCCTCTATAGTTCCAAGATAGAATATTCATATTAACAAAGGCGGTTTATCGGGTACAACCACCGCAAAACCTTTTATGGATTCTATGTAACTACCCAGAACATGCACATTCAAGTTAGAGATAGGATGTGTTACATGCTTGTCTGCCTGTAGAGCAACAAAAACATTACCATTAATATGTAATGGTGATAGTGAATCATCCATGCTCAGCCTGCTTTCCTGCTTATAATATTCCACATAAGAATATTCAGCTGCCATTAAATCCAGTTGCTTCTTCTTACTAAAGTGCTCCCTAAAGATTCTGACCCTGTTTTGTATATAGTTTTACACCATGATTCACTTGTTTTTTTGAGACTTCTCCATGGATATTTCTTCCACATGGAGTTCACTCGCCTCTTCTCCCATTCCATATGCTCTCTCGGTGTCATTTGAGCATTAGTATATTTATGATTCCGTGTTTGGCTACGACTGGTCTGATTCACCATGGTTTAAGGTTTGTGTGTTGTCAAAGTTATTATGATTGTTGAGACCCCATTTGTCATTGAGGTAGTGACTTTCTGTTTCAATCCACCAATCGAGCTTTTATGAACTCACCGGTTGCCATAGCTTTGGGTATAACTCCCTAAGGCTTTAATTTGTAAGCCCTTATGATACTGACTACGAAGAAGACAAAGCCCAGAACTAATGTAATCATTAACTCTTCCTCTCGAAGCAATCCAAATCTCATGACATTGAATCGATGAGTTTTGACCACTGGGAGTTGTTTTTGTTGGCCAGAAAAAGCAGATCGTTGTCCTTTCGAGCTTAGATCTGCTTCATTCTGATTCCCCACCGAACAAAATTGGTCTCTATCAAAACCCAGATCACCCATCTTGTTGATCGGATTCATGGAGAACTTCAAAGACCCATTCTTCATGGATGCGGCAGAGGCTCAATTAAAGAAACTATAATCATTGGAAAATGCCTTGGCTGAGATATTTCTCTGGGTAATTGATTATTTCTAACCTGTGATTTCAACAACAATTTAGCAAGGAAACAGTAGATTGGGACATCAGCGATGGAAGGGGATGACGAATTCAAGAACTGGGGAATTGGCGGCTCGTACAAAGCGCGTGCAATAATTCTTTATGCAGATGGAATTGAATGTGGTATGATCATGATAGATATGCCCTCTTTATAATTAAAAAAATAATGGTGATTACTCCATGTTCATAATCAGATTAAAAATTCGATATGCAATCCATCATGATATAACTTATATGAATCCAAATCACGGGCTCATCTCCTAACTGATTTATCTTATGGTTAAGTCCCAATCAATCATATATGGTATCAGTTCTTATATAACTAATCATATCTTCTGCTCACATGACGAAACCGTTTACTTGGTGTTTTTTTAATCTTAAGTAAAATCGTAAAAGTATTAATACTGTGAGATAATTAATATTTTGCTCTACATTTTGAGTGGATTTCTAATTGCGGCCCGAAGGTTTTGAGATCAAGGTCTCATTAGCCGAAGAAGATCCTGGCCAATCCATGTGGCCTGCTTGACCAGCGTCAGCGACGGAGACATCGTAAATTGGTCCAGTGCATCGCGATAAGTCCTCTGTTACTACAGGTGCCGCGACAACTTACTACACATGCAAAAATCACTTTCTTTTAGTGTATATAGATTTATTATTCCTCCTAAACATGCACACGCAATACGTAATTCCAGGCACAACAATTGTAAGAAAAAATTGGCACCAAACCTCAACTATCTCGATGTGGATGATAGTTCATGTAAGATATGGTGGAACGCCAAAGTTCAGGTCCTATGTGTTTGGAATCATCATTGATATAATGATGAAATCGATGTGTACGTGTATGATTGATGCTATCTAATGGATGGATGAGAAGTACTTTTTATCAAAAGTTTTCAATATACTTCTTTTTTTTAAAAAAAAAATGATTCCCAATCACATTTAATGCGATATCCATGTGATTTTTTTTAATAAAATAATTACTAGGGCAACAAGTTTTTAGTTCCTTTTAAAATAATAAAAAAAAGAGTTCATTTGCAAACACCATGTAACTCTGCTTGAAACGTCAACCAAACAGATCAACAAGTCTGGGAATCAGTTGGACAATGAGAAGTTTAGACAGTATCGATATAAACACAAAATCCTTTTAATATACTATGAATGTATTTTCTTCCTTACAAACGTCCTCTTTTAAACTTTTTAAACTACAAGTGCAACGTATCTGGCAAACACTCATATTTATCAAAAGAAGAAATAATTGAAATTGGATATGACTACCAATTTAGCTGGTTTTAAAAATTGACAACATTGTTAACACAATTAATGGACTCGAGAGATGATTGTGCAGAAAATTGAAGAGCTGTGGAGTAATTTAATTTCAAGTAAATCGTGAAATTTATTCAAAATAAAATAAGAAAACTCATTCCTTTTTTCCTATGCGTCAGAATAATTTATTTGCCCGTTAAAGAAATGAGTAACACGACACATCCTCTCGAACCAACAAGGCCTTCGAGGAGGAAAAAAATGGCACCACTATCAAATCCCTTGTTGAAACCCTTCAGTCCTCCAATCATGATTCTTTAACTGTAATCGGAGACCATCAACTCGGCAAAGTTATAGTCATTCCCATATTTTATTGATTACTATATAATGTGCTTGAGAATTTTGCTTGACAACTAATATTTGTTCCTGGCATCTTTATTTCCCACTCTAAGAATCAGGTGATGATTGTTATTGGTAGAATTTGAAAAGAAAGAGCAGAAATCTACCGAGAAAGGTGAGCAATGAAAGCATCCATCTCAGTTCCGATAGCCTCATCATCATCATCATCGCCGCCCTTCTCCACCGATTTCTTTATCGTATCCCTTAACTTTGCTGCTTTCTTCCTCATTTGATCTCCCTCTTTTGAGTCCATCAATTTCTTCACAACCCTTTCAACCTCATCTGCTTTGACTAATTCACCTTCGTGCCCCCAATCTCCGACCCTTATTCCGATCTTAAGGTATTTAGTCACCAGAATTGCATTTCTCGGCTGGTCGGAATGCATCGGCCACGCCGCCATCGGAACCCCGTAACTGATACTCTCAATGCACGAATTCCACCCGCAATGACTCATGAATCCTCCAGTTGATGAATGGGCCAAGATTTCCAATTGGGGTGCCCAATCCCTTAGGATCAATCCTTTTCCTTCTTTAATTATTCTCTCTTCATATCCTTCCGGCAAATTGGATCCCCTGTGTTCCCCCACAACAACTTCTCCTCTGTCCGCGTCCATTAAAACCCAGATGAATTTCGCCCCGCTGTTCACCAACCCGATTGCGATTTCCTCAATTTCTTTGTCGGATAACGAAGTTGTGGTCCCAAAAGAAACAAGGATAACAGAATTGGTAGGTTGCTTATCAATCCATTCTAAGCATTTATGGGATTTTTCAGATTCTGATCTTCTTCTTTTATTTACGTCCAGAGGATTAAATGGACCGATTGCCCAATGCTTTTCAGCGGAATGGTGTCCCTCTTTTGCCATTACGTTAACAAATTCGCCTTCAATGACTCTGCTAGTGTTGAAAATTATCCCCGCACTAAGTTTCCTCGATCGACTTTGAATTTGCACAAATTCATCGAGTTCAGGGCTGAAAAGGACTCCCTGGCGACAGGGCAAGATGTCTTTCAATGCTTCTCCATCAATCATCACCGGCTTTCCGGCCATTTCCCAAATGTAAGTGTAAGCTGTAAAAGCCGACACGCATTGGAAGCAGTAAAGCTCTGCATTTGGTATGGAATGAACATCCTGGATTGGGTAGGTCATGAGGAAATCGTAAATTACCACCACTCTGTTTGAAATGCTTGACAGATTCTTAACCAATTCGAAAATGGGTTCCCGGAGACGAAACGTTGCGAGAGAGGAATGGATCAGTTGTGTGGGGACTTTATTGGTGGTGCTCTTCGGGTTTGGTGGATTTGGCGGTGTTAAGAAATTGTGGAATTGGATCTTTGAAGTGATTTTTGGATCCCATCCATGGAGGCGAACCTGAGCTTGGCGGTTCCGGCTCGAAGTTCCGATGAAGTGGACGGGTAAACCGTAGCCGGATATAATGTGGGAGAGGTGGAGGAGCTGGTTAAGATGGCCTTGAGCTGGAAGTGGAACCATAACCACAACCACATCGGCGGTCTTTCCACCGACACTTTTACTATCAATGTTTTTGGCCATTAGAAAAAGTAGTATAATGGATGAAGTTTCTTGCACAAAAATGGGGGTTGAATTCCATCATTTTATAATAACATCTCAAATTTAAAACCATTCCAAATTTAAGATTTAGGACATTCCCTCTATTCCATGGAAAGTGGCCTAGTTCAGATTTTCCTTGTGTTTTCATATTTAAATGAAGTCTTTTTTTCATTACTCTATTGTCAAAGGATGCGGGGCAGTTGTCCCAATAATTTTTACTAATGCAAATTGTAAAATTGAATGTGTACTGTTTTAGAATAGAGGAAATATTATATTTTTTCGTTTCTTTTCTCAGTTTCGCCACTAGTATATCTTAGACTACGTCACTACGCTACTCAAAAATAGCATAGAGGATGTAACCAACATGCATCGGTAGAATTTTTCGCCATTTAGAAATCTATATATTTTCAATGTAAAACAACGCTCCTTTTCTAACATTAGTTTAGTTTCTTCAAAGGGATACCATTTTGACGTTAATCGAGAGTGTATCAATTTTCTGTCAACTCTAATGAACTAGATATATAATTATTCTAGAGAAAGGGAGTATTATTTCAAAAATTTCTTTTGTTAGACCAGAAATCTCATGAGGATATCCACATCATCCCCGGTGAAAGAAGGACAGGGTTTGAAGAAGAAAGACTCACAAGGTTTCTCCTAAAGTCTAGGCTTCTTTTCTTTTATGAAAAATTGCCCCTTTCGCTAAGGCCGTTTATTTTTTAAAATATAAATTTGGTCTTTTGGTTTAGGCCAATTGTTAGTAAGGTAAAGTATATATAATGTTTAACATTTTCATAGTTCCAGAAACCCTACAGCTGTCACTTCACTAACCTGTAAATCACAGTGATACCAAAATGTTGATGTTGCAATTAATCAATGGACTAATTTGGCAAGTAATGTGCTACAATCTCAATAGTGGCTAATGAGGGGTGTATCTAGTATCAACCTAATTAGCTTCCACGAACACAGCTCCTAATTAGCTTCATCGTAATCAACCAAAAGATTATCCAGATTCAGCTCTCTACAGCTTCTAAAGCATGGAACTTGGTCAAAGACTTTGATATGATGTATAAAGATGGCTTTAGTTCCGAGTATTTCGTTTTCTGTATTTTTTTGGATGGATTATTGATATCAATTTTGGCTTCCGATATTTGTAAAACAGAAAACAAAACGCAGGAAAAAATAGTTAAACCCCCTATCTTATATTAATTGTATCCCGTTAATATTTTGTTGTAAGTTATTTCTTCATTAAATTCATAGCCACTTAAGTATAATCTATAACAATGATCCACTTTCATGGTTAGGCAAATATTTTGACTTCGATGCTGTGATTGCTGTCTAATAACTCCATAAATTGCGTTGAACTAACTAAAACTAGCTTTCAGGCTTTCAGCCCCCACCATGTAGCTTAACTTTTTTATTGTTGCTTTGCTGGTGTTTGGCGCCTCATGCTATAAGCCTATAAGTAGTATGAATTTGATAATACACCACCTTACCCTACATTAAATATTGATCCACAAATTTAATTAGTGAAGACTGTTATTGTAATATGAAGGAAATTATATCTCAGCTATGGAAATCACTTTCCCCCTAACTACTATCTCTGTCACAAAAGATATAGTTCCTATTGAATTTTACATTCATTAATTTTTTAGTATAAATTTAGAAATTTGATGTGGACTATTTTTAGAGATAGAGGTAGTAATATTTTGGTCATGTCTCGGAGACAAGAAAGTAATATAAATAAATGTTGGTGTCGGAACACCATTTTTTGTTGCTATGTACAAAGCAAAGATTCTACCGCAAGAACAGTGCTTCATTAACCATTTTCAATGGAGAAAAACGGCGGTGGAATAATCGACGGTGGAAAGACAGCCGATTTGGCGGGTTCCGAATCTAGCTCAAGGCCACCTGCGCCCGCTCCTCCAAATATCCAATTTCATGGTTTCTCAACACCACCTGATTTACCAACTCCGACGCCAATTACAAACAGCAAAGTCCCAGCAGAAATCGTCCATTTCCTTTCACCAGACGTTTCATCTCCGGGAACCCATTTACAAACTTGTTCAGAAACTCTCGATTACTTCAAACAGAGCTGTAGTGATTTACGATTTCCTTATGTCCTACATAATCCGGGATGTTCATTCCATTCCAATTGCAGAGCTTTACTGCTTCCACGGCGGATCAGCTTTTACAACTTACGCTTACATTTCGTAAATGGCTGGAAAACCGGTGTTGATGAATGGAGAAGCCTTACACGACCTCTCCAGGGAATCATTTCCAACCCTGACATCTATAATTTTTGCAAATTCAAAGCCAATCAAGAAAACTTAATGCGGGACCAATTTTCAATACTAGCACAGTCATTGAAGGCGAATTTGTTAACATTATGGCGAATGAGGGACACCATTCCGCTGTAATACATTGGGCAATCGGTCCATTTAATCAGCTGGACTCAACTAAAAGAAGAAGATCAGGATCTGAAAAATCCTCATAAATGCTTAGAATGGCTTGATAATCAACCTACCAATTCAGTTATCCTTGTTTCTTTTGGGACGACAACTTTGTTATCTGACAAACAAATTGAGACAATTGCAATCGGATTGGAGAAGGAGTGCGATGATGATGAGGCTATCCGAACTGAGATGGATGCTTTCATTGCTCACTTTACTCGGTAAATTTGGGCTCTTCCTTTTAGTTCTTCTAATAACAATTAGCAGAGGTGAGATATTCTTTTGTCATGAACAGATGGTGTGTTCAATCTTTTTGTCATCCGCGTCTAGTTCATTTGTTCTTGGAAACGTTTCTCAATCCTTTCTTTTGTTTTAAATACTAGATGTTATACCCGCACGATGTGCGAGACAGAAAAATACAATGTATGGTTCCTTCTTTGCATTTTCTATACTTTTTTTTTCGATATACTTGATTCACTAATAAGAGAGAATATTTATTACTTTATTCATTCCAAGATAACAGTCTAATGTGTTGTACTTGTTTTAATATGAGGGTAGTATGGCCTCAACCTAGGCGACCACGGTTCATGTTGTAACCAGAACCGGTATGTCAGTTCATGAACTGGAACGTAACCATAGAAGGCAGTTTATAAAATCGTAATTGGACCGTCAAGTCAAGGGCCAGTTACGGTTCTAGTATTTGAAAAATCGTAAACCGACACTTCACACCGGAGATTTTGAACCGACAGTTCAAATTGTCAAAACCTGTTAACCTCTATTTTTATAAAAATTATTGAAAATTTCTAATTAGAAGTTAGTTTTTTACGTAATTTTTAATTTTTTTATGCTTATGTTTTGGTTATTTTTGAACTATTAGTAATGTTATAGAAAATTGCAATGACAATCCATTGAATAATTGTCTATTGGGATTCTACTAAATTTTAAACAGTGTCTTATATAATGCTTTCTTTTCAAAATATAACTCACTTTCTATTTGTGGTTACACAAAATTATAAATTCATTTTGTTTTTCAATGCATAATTTCATAAAATTCTCTCAAATTGTCATTGTATTTTAAATAGTACTTATAGAATCTTAGTACACCATTACTTAAATTAAGTGGTTGACATAATTAATTTTAGGTAAAGAGATTTTTTTAATTTATTAATAACCAACCGTTACTTATTGTACCACTCAAAATGGACTTATATTTTTCTTAAAAAAGACAATACTTATTTCTAATTATTAAAATCGTAGGAAACCCGAACATGACATACTATATTTAATCATTAAAAATTTGGTTAGCCATGCTACTAAAAGTATTTCTAATTTTATGTTTTTATGCACATGTTTTATTTCATTAAATCAATTTCTTTAGTTTCATTTTCACATAAAAATTAAATAGTAATAAATTGAATTACAGTTTTACAAAAATCTAATTAAACCCGTAAAATATCATATTGAAATTGTCAACAACACAAAGTAAAACCATCAATAAATCGAAACCGAAATCGTCCGAAATCATACTGGAACCGAAAGTTTATAAATCGAAATCGTAACTGTAACAATAGACTTAGGGGCTGGTTAAGATTCGTTTATTTATTGAACCGTGAACCGGTGATTTTGAACCATGTTCTTACTTACCTCAACCATCTGAAAAAAGAAATTGATAGGGTTACAACTAAAATGAAAAAGATAACCATATTATAAATAATATATTTTGATGGGAATAATATATTATATTGTCCTCTATAGCTTGTCAAGCCAAGAAAATACATTGTTAATATACTTCTTTTTATTAAGATATAATATGTTAATTTGTTACAAAACTTTACGTAGCTAAAAATGAGTAAGAAACATCTACTTGGGGAAACACAACATAAATTTATCTTTCGCCTTTGAGGTTTTTTTGGTGTCCAAGCAATCACAGACCTCACTTGTCGATAACATCTGATTTCCTACTTTTTTTCGTAACTTTGGATCTTCACAACAACAATTCATAGAATAAATAGATGCAAGAAATCAATTTACAAAAAGAGAAGAAAAAATAATCATCAAACAGGTACGATCTCAATTATTTAGAAGGAAATTAACAAGCGAACACCTATTTTTATTTCAATCAGAAGTTAAAATTGAGGGAGGCTCACACCAAAAGGGAAAAAAGGGACAACATACCTTAATGCGTTGCCATCGAGAAGATTAAGCCATGGATACTACAATTGAAGGGGGAAAAATAGTTTGCTATGTAAACTTGTGAGAAACACTAAAAAATGGGGATTCAAATGGAAAAGAAGTCTATTGACTAACCACCATCATAGTGTTTACACGAGCAACCTACCGAAAATCATTAGAAGACATGAAAAAGAAGTTCTTAAGAAAAACAACATTGGCGGCCGCAAATAAAATTCATATACAAGTAAAGTAGTAAGAAAAGAATAATAATAGGGATTAGACCATCATGGATACATTCCTTCTATTCTTTTTCAACAGTGTTTGCATAGACTTTTGATACTGGTTTAGAAGCCGGATGGGAATCATGTAGGGTGGATGATTTGGGGTAAGGTTTGACTATATTCAAATTCTTAAATAAGATCGTATCTTTTAAAAATAATCCACAACAACCGGCCCAATTCTTAAAAACTACTATGGTTA